TTGGGTGGAGAAAAGGGACAGACAGCCCCTGCTGTCATAAAGAAAAACAATTCAGCACCCAGATCGTGTGTGATGGAGACCGTGTGTGACAGTGGAGAGTTCAGCAGAAACTCCCAACATCTACAGTTTGTTCTTCAGAAAACAATCAACAGAGAAAACTCTACAGACAGCAGATGCAGAACAAGAAGAAGAAGACTCGAATTCTGAACAAACTGCAGCCAGTTGTTGCAACTAATGGACAGCCAGATGACCACTTTGTCATGCGCTTGGGTCGTGTAATTAGAAAGCCAATACAATTCAGAGACACTTAACAGACTGATACATACTGAACATCAAAGATAGTGCAATAGTGTAAATATTGTATATGTTAGGAATGTAGAACTTAAAGGGGGAGATGTAATGGGACGCTCATCTGTATTATATTGCTCGGCCACTAGGGAACACTGTGTGTAAAATACTTTATTTAAACAAACCTCAGCCATACCTAGCAGAGCTTTGAAGTATCTTATGATGAATACATCTGGTGTGCATAAGCAATCTCTGTAGCCTATCTACATCTGGTACAGGAGCATGTCATAGCAGGCTAAAGAAACAATGAAGAAACTGCTGTGCAGCGATGCCAGGTTAAAGGGAGAGAGATCCCAGCACTGAAATGGGGGTGATGGGATTGCTGGGGAGGGGAACTGATGGGGCCCCTCAAGGGCCTGGTGATGATGGAAATGGGAACGTTACTGTAATGAGGAGGAGGTGTGTGGCGTGAGGGCTGCTGGCTTGCCGAGGCGGGGATGGGGTTGTGTTGTCTCTTGCCCCTTTGTCCTGTGCTGAGAGGGGAGGCAGGTGGTGGGTCTTGCAGAGGGAGAAGCACACTCTCAGCTCACTCCTGGGGAGACTTGACATTGGTTCTTTCTTTGTTTGCAGGTGTCCTGTCATCTGATGTCAAAGCTTCTCAGGGTGAGAAAGCTGGCGCGGCTCCCCGTGTGCGCAGCATGGGGGAAGAGCCTGACACTAGCTGAGCTCAGGTATGTCCCCGCACAGGGAGTGAGCAAAAGGCAAGGCTGGATTCTCCTCCCTGGGGTCTGAAGCTGGGATGGGGCTGTTGGCTGTTATAACAGATGTGCCTAAGGGCAAATAGTTCCAACTCTGCCAGCCCTGCCCTGCTGTGACAGCTCCCTGTGCTGTCCAATGCACAATGGGCTGAGGGCTCTGGTCCTCTCTGGGCTCTCAACACAGGGGAGTGGGGGTATAAACCAGAAACTGGGGGATGGGGCCTCATCTCTCTGGCTGTCAGCAGTTATTGCCCATCTATCCCCACAACTTCCATGTCTCCAGTAGGAAGGACTGGGTTCTTCCCTCTTTCATAAGAACATAAGAACAGCCATACTGGGTCAGACCAAAGGTCCATCTAGCCCAGTATCCTGTCTTCCGACAGTGGCCAGTACCAGGTGCCCCAGAGGGAATGAACAGAACAGGTAATCATCAAGTGATCCATCTCCTGTTGCCCATTCCCAGCTTCTGGCAAATAGAGGCTAGGGACACGATCCTTGCCCATCCTGGCTAATAGCCATTGATGGATCTATCCTCCATGAATTTATCTAGTTCTTTTTTGAACCCTGTTATAGTCTTGGCCTTCACAACATCCTCTGACAAAGAGTTCCACAGGTTGACTGTGTGTTGTGTAAAGAAATACTTCCTTTTGTTTGTTTTAAATCTGCTGCCTATTAATTTCATTTGGTGACCCCTAGTTCTTGTGTTATTAGAAGGAGTAAATAACACTTCATTATTTACTTTTTCCACACCAGTCATGAATTTATAGACCTCTATCATATCCCCCCTTAGTCATCTCTTTTCCAAGCTGAAAAATCCTAGTTTTATTAATCTCTCCCCAAATGGAAGCTATTGCATATCCCTAATAATTTTTGTTGCCCTTTTCTGTACGTTTTCCAATTCCAATATATCTTTATTGAGATGGGGCGACCACATCTGCACGCAATATTCAAGATGTGGGCATGCCATGGATTTATATAGAGGCAAGATGATATTTTCTGTCTGATTATCCCTTTCCTAATGATTCCCAACATTCTGTTTGCTTTTTTGACTGCCACTGCACATTGAGTGAATGTTTTCAGAGAACTATCCACAATGACTCCAAGATCTCTTTTTTGAGTGGTAACAACTAATTTAGACCCCATCATTTTATATGTATAATTGGGATTATGATTTCCTATGTGCATTACTTTGCATTTATCAACATTGTATTTCATCTGCCATTTTGTTGCCCAGTCACCCAGTTTTGTGAGATCCTTTTGTAGCTCTTCGCATTCTGCTTTGGACTTAACTATCTTGAGCAGTTTTGTATTGTCTGCAGATTTTGCCATCTCACCGTTTACCCCCTTTTCCAGATCAGTTATGAATATGTTGAATGCTACTGGTCCCAGTACAGACCCCTGGGGGACACCACTATTTACCTCTCTCCATTCTGAAAACTGACCATTTATTCCTACCCTTTGTTTCCTATCTTTTAACCAGTTATTGATCCATAAGAGGACCTTCCCTCTTATCCCATAACAGTTTACTTTGCTTAAGAACCTATGGTGAGGGACCTTGTCAAAGGCTTTTTGAAAATCTAAGTACACTATATCCACTGGATCCCCCTTGTCCACATGCTTGTTGACCCCCTCAAAGAATTTTAGTAGATTGGTGAGGCATGATTTCCCTTTACAAAAACCATGTTGACTCTTCCCCAACAAATCGTGTTCATTTATGTGTCTGATACTTCTGTTCTTTACTATAGTTTCAACCAGTTTGCCCAGTACCGAAGTTAAGCTTACTGGCCTGTAAGTGCCAGGATTGCCTCTGGAGCCTTTTTTAAAAATTGGCGTCACATTAGCTATCCTCCTCTCATCTGTTACAGAAGCTGATTTAAATGACAGGTTACATACCACAATTAGTAGTTCTGCAATTTCACATTTGAGTTCCTTCAGAACTCTTGGGTGAATACCATCTGGTGCTGGTAACTTACTACTGTTTAGTTTATCAATTTGTTCCAAAACCTCCTTTAATGACACCTCTCTCTGGGACAGTTCCTCAGATTTGTCACCTAAAAAGAATGGCTCAGGTTTGGGAATCTCCCTCACATCCTCAGCTGTGAAGACCGATGCAAAGAATTCATTTAGTTTCTCCACAATGGCCTTTCTGTCCCTGAGTGCTCCTTTACCATCATGTTTGTCCAGTGGCCTCACTGGTTGTTTAGCAGGCTTACTGCTTCTGATGTACTTAAACATTTTTTTGTTATTACTTTTTGAGTCTGACTAGCTGTTCTTCAAATTCTTTTTTGGCCTTCCTAATTATATTTTTACATTTCATTTGCCAGAGTTTCTCCTTTCTATTTTCCTCAATAGGATTTAACTTCCGCTTTTTAAAGGATACCTTTTTGCCTCCTACTGCTTCTTTTACTTTGTTGTTTAGCCACGGTGGCACTTTTTTGGTCCTCTCACTATGTTTCTTAATTTGGGGTATACATTTAAGTTGAGCCTCTATTATGGTGTCTTTAAAAAGTTTCCATGGAGCTTGCAGGGATTTCACTTTTGGCACTGTACCTTTTAATCTATTTAACTAACTTCCTCATTTTTGTGTAGATCCCCTTTCTGAAATTAAATGCTACTGTGGTCGATTGCTGTGGTATTCTCCCCCACCCCTCAGATGTTAAATTTAATTATACTGTGGTCACTGTTACCAAGCGCTTCAGCTATATTCCCCTCTTGGACCAGATCCTGTGTCCCATTTAGGACTAAATCAAGAATTGTCTCTCCTCTTGTGGGTTCCAGGACTAGCTGCTCCAAGAAGCAGTCATTTAAGGTGTCAAGAAACTTTATTTCTGCATCCCATCCTGAGCTGCCAATCTGGGGATAGATGATATCCCCCATTATTGTTGAGTTTTTTCTTTTTTGTAGCCTCTCAAATCTCCAAGAGCATTTCACAGTCATTGTCACAATCCTGGTCAGGTGGTCGGTAGAATATCCCTACTGCTATATTCTTATTATTCAAGCATGGAATTACTATCCATAGAGATTTTATGGTACAGTTTGGTTCATTTAAGATTTTTACTTAACTTGACTCTATGCTTTCTTTCACATATAATGCCATTCCCTCACCAGCATGACGTGTTATGTCCTTCCAATATATTTTGTACCCTGGTACTACTGTGTCCCACTGATTAGCCTCATTCCACCAAGTTTCTGTGATTCCTATTATATCAATATCCTCATTTAATACAAGGCACTCAAGTTCACCTATCTTATTATTTAGATGTCTGGCATTTGTATGTAAGTACTTGAAATATTATCACTTTTTAGCTGTCTACCATTATGTGATATAATTGAATGGGACTCTTTTTCATTTGACTGTTTCTCATCAGATCCTTCCCTGCCCTGACACCCACCCTCAGAGGGGGTCAGACAAATGGACCCTCCCTGTCTGATTATGAGCTTTGAAGCTATGCTGCCCCCCAGCTGCCTCTCAGCCCCCTTCGCCTGTGGGGTCCTTGCTGGTGTAGGGCTGATGCCTGGCATGCTCCAAGCCCGCAGTCCCAGCAAATAGGACTTTCACCCCTGATCCTCCTGCAGCCCAGTGTGCTCCAAGATCACATCTTCTGTCATGGGCTCCGTGGATGGAGAGGGCTTGGAGACATCAGCCCCAGGAGAGAGAGGGCCGGAGCAACTGTCACAGTATCCCAGGTGCTTTGCTGCCCATTCTGCCATGACTGCGCTCTGGGACACTGGCTGCTGCTGGGACTCTGGATCTGTCTTGCGCTAGGAAGTTGATTCTACTGCAAAGGAGAAGCTGACCTCATTGCTGCCTAGTGACCGATGATATGGCCCAGTCCTGAGGCTGGCTGCGGCATTGGCTGAGGGCCACCCAATCCCCTGAGTATTAGGCAACTTTCTGAGTTTTTGTGGTCAGGACTTTGCAGAGAACTTCCACTTTCGAGAGCTGGAGTGAGACATTATTGTTAGCTTTGATCTCCCCATCAACTTTCCCCCTCTTGAGCAGCAATGGCCCCCGGGGGGATCCCTGGGGTCGCCAGGAACTGCTGGGCTGGGGCTCTAATAGTGGCGATAGCACTGAGAACTCACAGAGCTCATTGCACAGACTCTCCAGGTAAGCAGAGACCCCAGTGCTGGGGGGGGAAAGCCCTTTTGGGCTCTCAGGATGGGGAACACAAAAGCTTTCCCTCTGCCCAGCTCAGGGCTCAGAGATTCTCTTACAGGATCAACACAAGGGACTAGCAGATGGAGGTGGGGGGGGGGTGCAAGGATGGGGAAAGGCTACAGCAGACGTGGGTGGAGGTGGGTTCCTGACCTGCTCCTCTCTCCTCTCAGAGCATTTCCTGCTGCAGGAGAAGTCTGAGTGTCACTACACCAACGGCATGCAGCGGGTGAGGTATCTGAAAAGACTGATCTGGGGCCAGCAGGAGATCTGTTACTATGACAGTGACTTGGGCTTCTCGGTGGCCCGCACGGAACTAGGTCGGCCGATCGCGGAGTATTGGAACAGGCTGGAGTGGCTGAGCTACCTGTGGGCTTCAGTGGAGAAGTTCTGCAGTTATAACCATAGGAGATTTAAGAACATCACTGTGGGTAGGCGAGGTGAGCTGAAGGGGGAGGAGACCAAATTGGAACTGGGAACTTTGGGTCAGCCCCCCCCAGCTGGTGGTGTTATATTTGCCTCCCTCTGCACACTCCCTACCAGGCAGCAATTGAGCGTCGGTGGGGCTGGGTTTGAACTTGCGGAGGCAGAGGGGGAGTCGGAGGATGGGACTGGAGAAGACAGAATCTTTAATAGCAAAGGGTTGCTCTCAGCTTGAATCAGGCCCCAAATCCCAGTTTTGAGGGAAATTCTCCCGAAACCTGATACTGAAGGAAATAATTTGGGTGAGCCCCACAGACAAGCCAGGATCCCAGAGCTCCACACATGGTCCTCCCCGTCCTGCCAGCCCCCTCTGGCAGTGGGCACCCCATGGACTGGGACTAAAGGCAGCGGGTGAAACCCTCCCACCTGTCCCCTACCAAAGCTCTCTGCAGGAGGCACTGAGGTACCATGGGGATCCCTCACCTGGGAGATGGTGATGAGGGTGGGACTAGTGTGGCTGGAAGGGGTGTCATGCAGAGTACAGTCATGGCTGTGCATTGCAGGGTCAGGACTGTTGAAGGAGATGCAGACAGGTGGGTTTCAAGGAGAAATCCAGATGGTGTAGACTTGAGCTGCCCCGCTTTGGTCCCATTCCCACCCATGTCCCAGCAAGGAGCAATTTCTGATAGGACAGAGCAGGAGAAGGTGTGTGTTCTGTGTCTGGGCCCCTTTGCCAAGGTGTCTCTCTCTCACACACACAGTTAAGCCCAGAGTGAAAATTTCCACCCTGAAAGCAGAGTCTTCCCACCGCCCCAGCTTGCTGGTTTGCTCTGCGACAGGGTTTTATCCTTCCGAGATAGCGACCAAGTGGTTCAAAAATGGGCAGGAGGAGACAGCTGGAGTTGTATCCAGGGAGCTGCTACATAACGGAGACTGGACCTTCCAGATCCAGGTGACGCTGGAAACAAAACCCAGGTGGGGAGATGTCTACACCTGCCAAGTGGAGCACATCAGCCTGCAAACGCCCATCACCATGCAGTGGGGTAAGAGACTGACATTGGGGCAACCCCAGAGGATGCCTTGGGGTCACTCCTAGCTCTATGGAGACGACCAGAGGCTGGCCATGAAGCAGACTGGGATGGGATGCGTGCCCCATATGTGCTGTGAGAGGGTTAATATGGGCCCGAGAGGCCAATTAACCCACCTGCTTGTACCTGTTCAGGTAGGCCAGGCGTAATTGGAGATAAAGCCCAGCTGGGTTCTCCTTCCCCTCTTCCTCCCCCTCCATGAAGAGCTGGGTGAGCCCAGCTGAGAGAGGCTGGGCTGGGCTCACTCTGGGGAGCAGTCTGAAAGAAGGCTGAGCAGAGCAGGTGAACTGGAAGCAGGGACACTGCTGGGCTGCAGCCTGCCTGAACCCCCGAGCAGGGGTGCTGGAACCCAGGGCGCTGTGGGAGCAGCAGTACCCCTGACTTGAAGTGGTTTCCATCATGTGCAGGGGTTACAGTTTGGTTCAATGGTTTTCAGCACCCCCACAATAAAAATTGTTCCAGCGCCACTGCCCCTGAGTGAGGGGAGGAGTGTGCCAGCCCTTGGAGATGGGGGTTGTTGGAGGCATAGGAACCTGGGGTGTGGCATGGGGAAAAGACTGTAGCATGGCATGCCTGGGAGGGAGAGGTGGCCTGCTGAGCCCAGCTAGGATGAAAGTTTGGTTATTTCCATGTTTATTAGACTTTGGTAAAAGACACTGAGGCCCCGGAAGGGACTGGACTCTGTATAATGGTCTGGCTGGAGAGCCATGTCACTCCTACAGCTGGAGAAGGCTAAAGGAAGGTGGGGGAAATGGAGGCAACAGGTGCTGCAGTGTAACAGCCATCCAGAATGGGGCACAGTGCCCCACATACCTGCTTCCTCAGACGCGTCAGTAAGACAACAAAGATACTGTAAGGGAAATCAGAGTCCAGGCTGAGCCCTAATCCTCGGTGCTCCTCTTTTGACAGTGGCACAGCCTGACTCTGCCAAGAGCAGGATGTTCATTGGAATTGGGGGCTTCGTACTGGGGTTGAGCTTCACGGTGCTGGGACTCCTCGTCTACCAGAAGAATAAGAAAGGTGAGTTTAAGGTGAATGAAGGAGGTGAAATGTGTCCCCAGTAAGATGGCCTGATAGTCTTTAGGATTTCACTATAATTTACATTTAACAAGACAGTTAACTTGAATTTCAAGGACATTTTGGATTTTTAGGGCCTAGGCAGGGCTGGCTCCAGGCACCAGCGAAGGAAGCAGGTGCTTGGGGCGGCCAATACAAAGGGGCGGCACTCCGTCCGGTATCGGGGCAGCACCTCTGGGTCTTCGGCGGTAATTCGGCAGCGGGTCCCTCAGTCCCTCTCTCCTACTTTGAGCTGCCACCGAAGAGGAAGAGAGGGAGTGAAGGACCTGCTGCCGAAGAATGAAGCGGCGCGATTGAGCTGCCGCCGACCGCCCTTTCCCCCCACCCCCTGCTTGGGGTGGCAGAAAAGCTAGAGCCGGCCCTTGGCCTATGCCAACACCTATTAAAGTCAATGTCAGTTTTAAATGACTTCTACAGACATTGGATTGGGCCTTCAGTGACTAGAGACCTTTCCAGGAACATTTGGGCCATTCTTGGGCCTTGAAAGATCAGCCTTTGACCTGGTATAGCTCTGAAACGGACCATCTGAATTCTGGACTATGTTGGTGGTTACTTATGGCAAATTCTCCACTTCTGCTCCACAAACTCTTGCAACATCAGTTTATTGCAGACTGTTTGTAGACTCTGGATATGGATAAATTCATATTTATGTACAAAATAATTAAGTAACCTCTCCTTTAAAATCAAAAGAAACCAAACCCAGCCAAGAAACCTATGAACTCTTGACCCCAAAGTTTTGGTTGGTTGTTCCTCTTGCCAACTTTTCTCTCATCTCAGTACACTAACATAAATTTAAGTTCTTTCACTTAAAATGAACTAGAACAACCGGTTTAAAATCCTGGTGGTAGAGTCTCTCTCACACAAGTACTCGCAAGCTTTCTCCAGCCTAAGCCTGTCCAATGATTCTCTCTTTTCTTAAACAAGCAAACTTAGCAGTTCTTCATTCTTGGTCTATTTCTCTTAAGAACAGGGGTCCTCAGCCAGGGGTTGTGACCACCAAGTGTCGGGGTGTTATGACTAGAGCTGGTTGGTTGTTTTTGGATGAAACAGTTTCATTGACAGATGCTGATTCGCTGGATCAAAATGTTTTGTCATACCTATTATAGAGTCTGTGACATTTTTGTCGAAACACGGGCAGGTTTAAATTGGAAACTTACAGAGGTTCTAGGGTCCACAGCCCTGACAGGGAGCCTCTGAGTCCCCAGACACCCAGCTGGAGACTGGCAGGTTCCCTGCAACACAGCAGCCACCCTGCAAGTGCCCAGCCGGAGCCAGGATTCTGGGGGATGACTGGCTCTCCGCACCGCAGCAACAGCAGCAGCCGCCCTGGGAGCCCCACCTGCAGACAGGATTCTTGCCACTGTTGGACTCCCAGCTCCAGGGCAGGGAGGCTACCAGCAATGAAATTGGCATTCTTGTCAGTTTCATGGCTGCTAGTTCACATTTTTGTCTCAGAAATACCATATTTTGCTGTTTTGTAATGAAATTTTTAGGGATCTCCAGTTCCAGTACATGTCAGTAAATTTGCTTTCCTTCCAGATCAGAATGAAATTTACTTTGTAAATATTCAAATCCCTGAATTTCAGCCAGCTCTAGTTATGACCTCCCTGCCTGTCCCAAATTGTTTACTGGGAGGGTGTCCTTGCTAGATGCGACCAGGACCTGTGGGTTGGGTCCCAGTATGGAGAAGCTTGAGAACCACTGCCTTAGAAAAATAGTTCCCAAACACCAGTTTCTCCTTAAATTAAGAGGAATAGGGGAGCAGGGTCTGGAGACTTGACTCTGCTGGAACCAGCTCTCCAGCCTGCTTAAGGCTCCGAGCACATTTCTTTTGTTTTTTCAAGTCTTCAAATTACCCAAACTCAAGGTAACGTCAGTCTTCACTCTGCAACCTGTTAAATCCTTTCTTCCCCGTCAGAGCCCTCTGGATAGAGTGACCAGATGTCCTGATTTTATAGGGACAATCCCGATATTCGGGGCTTTGTCTTATATAGGCCTTATATTTGCCCATTACCCACCACCCCGTCCCGATTTTTCGCACTTGCTATCTGGTCACCCTACCTCTGGATGAATGTGCTGTAGGGATGGAAAGAGGAGCAGAGAGGATGTTGGTTGAATTGGTATCACTTCAGCTGCCCTTATATGGGCCCCTCTATTGTCTCCTCTTATCTCCAGATCCTTTATACACTCAGACTATAAGGCCATGTCTACACTACAAAATTATGTTGACCTAACTTACGTTGGCATACAGCCACCACAGTTATGAAATCGCTTGTGTGTGTGCACAGTTGGATCCTTGTGCTGGTGGTGCACGTCCTCACCAGGAGCGCTTGTATTGATTGTATTGTCAGTGGGGGGGATTGTGGGACAGCTCCTGGAGGCCAGTAACAGTCAATGTAAGCAGCACATTATCTACACTGACATGGACCGCGACTATGCCGCTTGGGGAGCTGGGTGTTACTAAATCGGTGTAGAGTGGCCCTCATGTCAGCGGGAGCCAAATTTAAGTGAAGATTCTTCCACAGCTAGGTCGACACAAGGCCGCTTACATCGACCTAACCATGCAGTGTAGAACAGGCCAAACAATATTGCGAGGCTGGAGGTGGCATGAGAAAAAGGAGGATTTTGCTCCCTCCATTCACGGTGAAGTGGGAGCCTCCCCCAGCAGCAGAATGTCCTGATTCCTGCTAGAGTATTTCCTATCCCTGAAGCTGCCAGGTAAAGTCACTGGGGAATGCCCTGGAGCCTGCAAGAGAAAATTCCCACTTGTCCCCCAGTGGTTATTTCTCTCTTCTCTTTCCCCACAGGGTACCCGTGCTTGGACACTGCAGAATCTCAGGCTGCTGGGAGTGACAGGGGCAGCTCTACAAACTTACTGCTCTGTGCCTAAATCCTTCCAAGTTCTGTGAAGGGCCATCTCTAAATCTTCCCTTAACTCTCTGTATTCATGCATGAGCCATTACTCTTTCCCTTCCCCTCGCTAGCTGTTTTTTGTGGGCTCTTGCTCAGGTCACTACTGTGCTGCCTCTGATGGAGGGAATCACCACTTTCCCTCAATCGGAGCAGGTTCCCCTCCTGCCAACTTTTCCTGCCGCCCCGCCCCAGATTTAACTGCTCTGCAATTAAAGAACAAAGTGCTTGTAGATCTGAGATTGTCCCTCAGGGGCTGATTTCATGCAAGCTGTTGACTTGGGGAATCTCCAGTGGAAGAGGAGGGAAGGATCCAGTTTTCATATGGAGCTGAGGATGGATGTCCCGCTACTCAGAGTGCAGCACATACCCAGATAGAAAAGAGGGGAATAAATAGTAATGTTTCTAACTAATGCTTTGCACTTAGAGAAATTTTATCTAAGGGTCTGAAAGGATTTGATAACTGTGAGTTAATGAAAAGTACTAATTAACCTGGTGTTAATCTTTAATTTCATGTGTTTGGTAACTTTCTGAAACAGATCTGTGATTCTGTATATCATGACACCCCACCCTTTGGCTAATGGAGATTGTACTGTACTCAGCTGATGAGCAGAACATGAAAACCTATGTAGAACAGCAAATTAAAGAGATAAAGCCTTCCCCAGGTAACTAACAACCCATGAGATTAGAAACATGGAGAGAATGTTTACATTCTAATTTGCCTTTCACTGTCATTGCTGGTTTGTTCTTGCTGCTGCTTTTACTCCTGGCAACGGCCTCAGTCCGCTTAGACACTGAAATTCGGCTGCTCAGTCTCCGTTCCTGTCTCTAACTAGGTTCACGGTGTGGTTCTCATGCACTAATCTCCTGCTGTTGTACTTATCGTAGGGTTTTATCCTGACACCCATCATAGATTTCATAGAATTTAATGCCAAAAAGGACCACTAGCTCTTCCAATATGATCTCCTGTATAAATTTTATATATAGCCCCCTATATTGAGCCCAAAGACTTTAGTTGGACCTAAGCATTTCAGTCCTCAGGAGAATAAACTGTTTTATGCCATTGGGAAAAACAGGAGAGACACCGGTGCCGAACTCACAGTGATAAACCAAAACCTGGATTTCAGACCCCAGGGACTTGGCAGTGTCCCAGAAATGAACCAACACAAGATAAAACCCAATGACGCTTTGAAAAGTAGCATCCCCAAGGTTAAACCTACGAGGAGTCCGGTGGCACCTTAAAGACAAACAGATTTATTAGGGCATAAGCTTTCGTGGGTAAAAAACCCACTTTTTCAGATGCATGGAGTGAAAATTACAGAAACAGGCATAAATCTATATTGGCACATGAAGAGAAGGGCGATTGACAGAGCGAGATGGGTACCCAGAAGTCACCTACTACAGGACAGGCACCAAAAGGAAAATAACAGAACATCACTGGCCATCACGTACAGCCCCCAGCTAAAACCTCTCCAGCACATCATCAACGATCTACAACCTATGCTGGAAAACAATCCCCCTCTCACAGACCTTGGAGGCAGGCCAGTCCTCGCTTACAGACAGACCCCCAACCTGAAGCAAATACTCACTAGCAACTATACACCACACCACAGAAACACCAACCCAGGAACCAATCCCTGTAACAAAACCCATTGCCTTCTCTGTCCCCATATCCACTCTAGCGACACCATCATAGGACCCAATCACATCAGCCACACCATCAGAGGCTCATTCAGCTGCACATCCACTAATGTGATATATACCATCATGTGCCAGCAATGCCCCTCTGCCATGTACATTGGCCAAACCGGACTGTCTCTACGTAAAAGGATAAATGGACACAAATCAGCCATCAGGAATGGTAACATACAAAAGCCAGTAGGAGAACACTTCAATCTCCCTGGACATTCAATAACAGATTTGAAAGTAGCCATACTTGAACAACAACAAAAACCTTCAAAAACAGACTTCAAAGAGAAACTGCTGAACTACAAGTATCAGAGGGGTAGCCGTGTTAGTCTGAATCTGTAAAAAGCAACAGAGGGTCCTGTGGCACCTTTAAGACTAACAGAAGTATTGAAGCATAAGCTTTCGAGGGTGAATGCCCACTTCATCAGACGCAAGTCTTACGTCTGATGAAGTGGGCATTCACCCACGAAAGCTTATGCTCCAATAGTTCTGTTAGTCTTAAAGGTGCCACAGGACCCTCTGTTGCTTTTTGCTGAACTTCAATTCATTTGCAAACTTAAC